AAGATTATAATAAAAATATACCAGAGAAGGAAGAAAAATAAGTAAAACAGCATATGAGAAAGAAGAGGGATTGAGATTTTAAGGGTGGTCAGAAAAATCCCCATGGATAAGGAAACATTTGAGAAAAGACTTCAAGTAAATAAGAGTATATATAGGGTGGGGAGCAATCAAGGCAAAAGGAAGAGCAGATGCAAGGTAAAGATGTCCCTAGTGGGTTTGAGAAACATCAAGGAAGTCAATGTGGCTGGAGAAGAGTGAAAGAAAGTGTAAATAATTAAGAAAAGAAGTCCAAGAAGTTATAGTATAGTATATCAAGTGCGGTCTTGTGGGCCATTTTAAAGACTGCCTTTTACTCTGAATGAGATGTAAAGTTACTGGGAGAGTTTTGAGCAGAGGAAGTACATGGTATATCTTAGGTTTAAAAAAAGATTATTTTGACTATTTTGGGGAAAAATCGATCATAGGTAAACAGGGGCAAAAATCAGTAAATCAAATATGAGATTTTTGCAATAATCCACATACGATGAGGCTTGGGGCAGGATGTTAGCATTAGGGTGGTAGTGGGGTGGAGAAAAGGAAATACTGTTGATGTAGGCAAGAGAGAGAATTCTTGGAGCATAGGGAAAAGGATTGGCTCTTAGAGTGCAAAAGAGAGGACCGAGTATGCCGATATGGATGCAGGTGGTTGGTTATTTGCTAAGAGGGAAAGAAAGGAGGTGTTAGAAGTTTGAGGGTGGAAAAGGTATAAAATAAACATTTAGGGAAAGTGTAAGGACTTTTAAAATAAAACGATTAGCAGATAGCACTAAAGGCCCACTTGAAGTTAGTGGTGATGAATTCGAAGAGTCTAGTTGACATTGGTATGGGTTTTTCTTCATCCACTTTCCCTAAGGTGGAAAGTTAGATTGTCCAGGGTAGGGGTTTTGTGAGAAAAATAACAAAGCAAGAGAAGGCAAGAGAGAAGAAGACATGTCAAGGGGATGATTATAATATTGAACCTTGGAATTTAAGTGGGTAAGAGGAAAAGTGAGGACATAAGAGTGAGGAATGGTGAAGAGATGTTGGAATCACTGGCTTGTAGGTCTCATGAGCGGTTATCAAAGAACTGTTAGAGTTGAGGTGTCGGAATGAGTGAGCTGAAAATATATGAGAGGTAGAAAGATAAGACAGATTGTTGCTAGATTCTTAATAAATGGAAACAATCTCTAAAATAATAGTAGTATTAAGGCCCAGTCCATCCTCTCAAAGTGCTCACTATGTAATGGGGAAGAAAAGGCAGAAATGAATACTAAAGATAAGTACATGCAATGTCTGAGGGAGCCAAAAGGAACTTTCAGGTAAATGTGAGGATCAGATCAAGGAAACATTCAGAGAACATAGCATTTTAGATGAACCTCAAAATGGAGCAAGTGCAGAGCTTAGTCTGATATAGCAGTTAAACCATTGCAGCGAGTGTTCAGGAAGCAGTGGTTGGAGCATGGAATGGGAGCTATGGCAGGACATGAGTGGGCTGGAGCCAGGTTAGAAGATCTTTGAAATACCAGACTAATGCCTGAGCATTAGGTAATAATGAGGTCAGGGACACCTCATTATTGAACCCACTTATTAGCATGATATGAAGTCATATTGGTTTTTATATTTTGAATAGTCTAAGGTTACTTTCTTCCCTATTATGTATTTAAGTCATATTTAGAGTTTTTGATTGTTCTTTTCTGATTTGTTCTTTTAAGATCACTTCCACTCTAGTGCACTGATATTGTTGTTGTTGTTTTGTTGTTGTTGTTGTTTCAAAAAATATACTGCCACATGCCCATTCACTTTCTTTCCAATGGCCTTCAACTCTATTCCCCAATGTTGGTAGGAAAGTCTAACATGTGACCTCTTAAGGTCCTGCCGGGAAGGAGTAGGAAATAGGTTGAATATGATCATAACCGTGCTGTCCAAAGCATTAGGACCAGTTGAAGTGGATGAGTTGAAGGTGAATAGTTAAATCCTCCCAGGGTAGAAGAAGACATGAGGAGTACAGTCTCACAATTGAAGTATCGCAATTTTTCTAAGAACTCAGTATCAATACCAATGATGGGGTCGATCTCTTTGCAAGCTATATTTATGATGTTTGAAAATATCAGAACCTCTGTCCTCACAGACTAACCAGATGAGTGTTGATACCATTACCTTCTCTACCATGTCATTGTGGCTTTGGCTAAGCTCCTTTCGTCCTCTGGACCCAAGGTCCTATCTATAAAATGAGAGTGCTGGATTCATCTTTCTCTAGTGTCCCTTCCAACTCTGGCATACTCTGCTTTTTTCTGTTATCATTTATTCTTTACTAAACTCATAACATGTGCCAGGCATTTTTCCAAGCACAAGACCCTCCAACTCACCCCTTCTCTCCTTTCTCCAAACTCCTGTTTTGAATTATGTTGGACTTTTCTTATTTAAAACATTTGAAAAAAGTGCTGTGTTAGAAGGTTTATTTCACATAATACATTCGAAAGAAAATCATGGAAAGGGCTTTGTTTTGTTCCAGCAACCGAAACAATAAAACCACCAGAATGACATGCAGCATTTTGTACTGCCCTCAAGTGGTAGCCCAAAAGTCTTTTTCCTGATTGCAGTTTAAGGAATAAAATGTCTTTTGAGAAGAGTTCACAGGTGTCTAAAGGTAGGAGAGTCTTAGAGGGCCTGAGGCTGTCATTGTTGGCATCTCCAGTGTGCAAACTTACTCTAATTTCTCCTACTTTTAAAGAGCTAGTATTTTATAACCATGACTCTCTTCAGTCCTATTTCCCTCCTCCTCTTCATAGTCAAATTTCTCCAAAGTTATTTATGTATTATTTCTACTTTCTCATCTCCAATTTATTTTTAAACCTTTTGTTTTAAAATAATTTCAAACTTTCAGAAGAGTTGCAAGAACACTACAAAGAATTCCCATATACTCTTCACCTAGATGCACCAGAAGTTAATATTTTGCCCCAATCTCTTTATTTCTGTATGTGGATGTGTATGTGTGCACATACACGATTATATATGGAAGTGTGTTTTTTTCTGAACCCTTTGAATTTAGTATTTTTCACTAATACTTTAAATACTTCATTATGTATTTTCTAAGAACAAGGACATACCTACGTACACACTCTCCGCCCAACAAATGTGATGATACAATTCAGGTAATTTAACATTGATATGATATTTACATATAGTTTATATTCAAAGTTCACTAATTGGCCTGATAATGTCCCATTTAGCAGTTTTCCCTCCAATACAGGGTCTGATTCAGCGCCTGATTCCTACTCAGACATTACATTTAACTATCATGACTTTCCTTAATCTAGAACAGTTCTCTAGACTTTCATTGTTATTTACAATACTGAGATTTTTGAAAAAGTACAGGCCAGTAGTTTATAAAATTTCTTTCTGTTTGGTTTTGTTTCATGTTTTCTTATGACCAAGCTTACTTTTCTTTTTTCTTTTTCTTTTTTTTTTTTTTTGTAGAGTACCTATGGGATATTCTGTCCTCAGTACCTCACATGAGGAGAAACGTGGTATCACTTAATCCTATCATTGATGGTGTTCACTTTGATCAGCTGGTTACAGTGGTATCTGCCTAGGTTTCTTCACTGTAAAATTAGCATTTTTTTCTATGTAAATAATGAGTAATCTGTGGAGAGGTACATTGAAACAATGTAAATATCCTGTTCCTCTTAATAATTTTTTGCCCAAAGGTTTCAATATTCATTGATAATTCTTGCTTGAATCAACTACTACGATGGTTGCAAAATGGTAATTTTGTAACCTTGTTATTCGGTCTACATTTCTTAGCTGACATTCTTCCGTAGGCAAGATCTTTCTCTTCTCTCTTATTTATTTGTATATTTACTTCTCATCATCAGTATAGACTCATGGATTCTTATTTTACCTAATAACTTATAATCATTATCATTTATGTCATTATTCATTTTAATGTTCAACTTGTTTCAGATTTGGCTAGTGAGAGCCCTATCAAGCTAACTCTGGTGTTCTTTTGAACATGCCTATTATTTTTATTTATTTTTTAGCACTTTCTCGCTTTTTGGTAAAATACGATGTTCCAAGTTCATCTTGTACTGTCTCTGCTTACCCTTGGAAATCATCTATTTCTCCAAAGAGCTCGCCATTTAGTGGAGAATAGGATTTAGGAACTGAGATCTGGGCTCCAGATTTCTTATTGCCACTGAAGTATAATTGCTTCCGGGCTCTTTGAGTAAACAGAGCCAAGCGGGGAAAATAGCAACTTTATCTAGTTCAACTATTTTTAATCATGAATTCCCTACTGGTCCCTCTAATTCCAATTCAACACCACAGGGTTCTTTCTCTCGTTCCTTATTTGCATGTCCCTTTTCCCACAGTGAGAACTCTGGCTCTCAACAACATCAGTGTCTTTTTTCATTTGCTCGATGTTATAATACATACAAAATAATTTCAGAATTGCTACATTTATTTCACTACTGAGTACAATCTACTAGAGTTCAAGATTTGTTTCCAGTTTTGTTCTGTTTTTAGTCTAAGAGTATATATTTAAAATACTGTGTTTAAAAATTTTTTAGATTTTTTAAAAATCTTCAGAGTGGTTATACTATTTATTTAAATTTAGTTAGGTTTGTTTCTGTTTATATTCAGTTTTATGATCCCTTTCATTCTTCTTGATTCAATTTTCTTTTTGAATATGTAAAAGCTAGCATTGTCTAAAAGTCAAATCCATACACAAAACATATGGAATGCTTTATAAATTCATGTGTCATCTATATGTCTAGGAGTCGTGCCAATTTTCTCTGTATTGTTCTAGTTTTAGTACATGTGCTTTCAAAGCAAGATCACCTCCAATTCATTCTTCAACCTACTTGATATTTTCTTAGTCTCCCTAGTTCACTCAGACTGCTCTTGTCAAGGTCATCAATTAGCAATATTTTTCTGTCCTTATCTTATTTGACCTTTCTACACGCTGCTGACCTCTCCAATTTTCTTGAAACACTCTCCTTTCTTGGTTTTTGATTCCGTACTCTTCTGGTTTTACTCTCTCTTCATAGGCCTATCCTCATCCTCCTTGTCTCTTCAACCATCCTAAAATTTGTTGCCCCTCAGGACTCTTCTTGTTTCCCTTCACTTCTCTCTGTATAATCCCTTCTTAGATGATCTCAACTATTTCTATATCTTCAAATGCCGATTATGCTAGTTACTTCTAAATTCATATTTTCATCTTAGATCTCTCATCTGGTCTCCAAACTTTTAACCAGCTGCCTAACTAACATCTACCTGGATATCTCACTGACATCTTAAGTTTAACATGTCTAAAATAGATCTAATTTTCCTGTCAAGCCTGCTTTTCCCAGGCTCCTCCGTCTCAGGAAATGTTACCTCCTTCCACACGGTTGCTGCAGCCAGAAACTTAAGAGTCATTCTTGATTCCTCTGTTTTTCTCAACCATAACGCCCAATGCATCTGCGAAATACGAAAACTTTACCTCTGAGACTGTCAAATTCATCCATTTCTCTCTGTCTCCACTACCACTACTTCACTCGTTGTCTCTCATCCAGATCACTCATCAGCTTCATAATTGGCCTCCCTTGTATCCCCCACACATTCATTTTCTATACAGTAGCTATAATGACTTTTTAAAAAAACAATTAATAATACAAACTTATATTGATTGGGTGTTTATTATGTGTCAGGAACTGCGATAAACATCATATATATATATGGTGTGTGTGTGTGTGTGTGTATATATATATATGGT